CAGGCATAACAGTTAAAATAAAAAGGAAAAAAAAACGTATTTCTTCATAAACTTATGGGTTTTGGAATTTTAGGAATATAAGACATGAAAATATAGACAATAAACACAAATAAGCTGGTTTTTAAAATGGATGTTTAAAAGAAATTGTTGTTAAAGACGTTAGCTGAATATAAGCAAGTGCCTACAAATATAAAGCATTGGACATTCACTGTCAAGAACAGTGATTTGAGCTTTGTGTTTTTGAGCTCTGGAAAACCCCTGATGGAAACGTATTATTTTAGATGTATAATTAATCACATATGCATATGTATCATTCTGCATTCTATTTTAACGAATATTATTTAACAACTTTATGTGCAGTGTTCAAAAGACACCTGTACCTCCCTCAATCTGAAAAAAGATATGGACTCATGTGACTGAATAATGAACAATGAATATTCATGTGTAGGTGTAACACAAAGCATCCCAGATGCCAGCGTGACAGAAGCATCTCTTTCCAAGCAACGGATTGGTAATCTTACACTGTGCTGCTTTAGATCATATTAGTAAAACAACAGAGCCCAGGGACTCAATAGAGACGCTGAGCCCTACTGTTTAAGCACAGCATGTATTCAAGCACAACAAAGATATACCACATTTGAAACTGATTGTTTTGTTTGTTATGACTCTTACAAACTTAAGAATTTGCTTCCTTTGATCATCAGAAATGAAAATCTCCACACTAATTTTCTTTCTAAAAAAAATTATTCCTTTGATGATTTAAATACATCAGAATGTGCTGAATGCAGGAATCTATTATTAATTTACTTTAAAGAACAACATTTTGTACAGCAATAATTGTACAGTATACTATTTCATTCTGACTTTGATTAAAAACAATCAAACCCATACTTTAGCTTAAGACACAAAAAAATATTCAAGAGTATTCGCTTCTTAAAAACGAATAAAGAGAAAGTGTTTTGCCGTTACATTCTTGAAGTAAGTTTGACATTTATTTTTCCATTTGGCCAAAGTTTGTGTTTAGTCATCCACAGGATTTTAAAATATGCATTAAACCAGTATCAAACTCAGTAGACAGCTGGAATGAGAAGAAATTCAGCTTTTCAAGTGCAGACAGCATGTTGGACCAAGCCAGAGAAGAGATACTGTGTAGTGGATTAATCTGGATTTACAATTTGCTTTCAGTCTGTGTTCTATCTTGCAACACTGAAACAATCCCAAGTGTTTCATCTCGGAAGACTAGGGTTCACTTTCACTAAAGACCAAGTGTGAGATGAGCCCATTCATCCAGCTTGATTTGCTGGTTCTCTACCACACTGTGTAGCACAGCACTCTAACTTGTATCTTAGCAGCATGAAAAATTTTATCGGAAGGCAAAAGTACAAGATTGTACTGATAAATGTATAAGAAGGTGAAAGAATAAAGACAGACTGTTTAAAAATATATACTTTAGTTGCATCCCCCACCACAACTTTACCAGAGGGAAATTGTCCTTCCTGTCTACATAAGTTATGACAAGTTACAGATTCATCATCAACTTTTAAAAAGGGAACACGAATATAGGAAAGCCTACAGTCATTTTAGCAGTACAGCTCTACTTAAGGAAACCTTTAGACTTTAATTTCATATAGCGTCTTTCCCGACATCTGTGAAAGCTTTTACAAACCTTAGAGCAGTCAATAGAAATAATGCAGCTGAGCATTAGCCCCATAAAACCTGCTTCAGTGATTAATGAGCTCACAAGGGCATCCCACAGCTTCCTTCAAGTGGAGAATGGAGCTGGTACAAGATGAAAATTAGGCTGCTAGTAATCAAAGATTTTTATTCAAGTATTTTTCACATGTTTTACTGTACTTTACAAACAATCAAACACTGGTGCAGAGGTTCCTGGCATATCTACTATTTTCACAAGTACAAATGCAGTGCTGGATTTTGTTTTTTTTCCCCCCCAAAAAAAAGAACCTTTTTCAAGTACAACACCTGGGGTGGACAGAACTCCTATAGCGCACATGTGCTCTTTCCAATTCTGGCTACAACAAATCTTTATATTGCACCTGCAGCGCTATTATGCATTTTCAGAATTTGCAAAAGAAAAAAAAAAAGAACTCTTTCAGCCATGCTTTCAAAAGCTTTCATACATTATCAAAGTCACATTTTGTGCAAAGAAATCACAGTTACCAATAACATCAAATTTACACTTTTCTATGTGTATGTGACTAAGTATACACTCATAAATGTATACTCTAAAAATTACTAGCATTAGGTTAACAGCAAAAAAGAAACATGGCATAGTATATAGCATGCATACCATATAGTATGCTTTCGAAAGTGGGTCTAAAAATTACATTACTTCATAGTACTTCTAGATTATGTCTTTGGGCTGTTATGATATTCAAGATTTTCCAGAAGTGTGAACATTTCATAGGCCACACTCTCACACGAGCAAACATCTTATGGCCAACTAGAAACAAATTAAGTACAATTATTTATGCACAGTGGTCCCCATTTGTTTCAATATTCCGTCTAAGTTTCTGGCTGCGGTGTCATTTTAAATAATTTATAAATTTGCAAATAAATCTGCATTAAACACCATAATGCTAAGTTGCAGAATAGCAGTGATTTGCCGACATCTTCGATCCCCAGCGTTGACTCATAAGTGATTGCTCATCTATAATCATTCGCAAAGGAAAATTTGTAATGACATTTAACATAACTTATTTTGAAGTTACAACAAGACCTTTAAACGGGTAAGAAACTTTCTGAATAAACTGAATTACTATTTTAGTCAGTCCTCAGAGCAAAAACAACTGAACCACTGAAGTCACATGCAGGAAACGTTACAGTTTTCCAGAGATACAATTAATTATCATTACACTGCTCCGTATTATTTTCATAATTACTGCAATGCTTCAACTTCAAGTACCACTCACATGCGGTGCCATTAAACACTGATGGCCATCCGTCAGCTGTTAATAATACATTACTGACCATGATATACATTGAATGTAAGTAATTTATGTTGAGCTTTTCCAAGTGCTGAGAAAAAAAAAGACAAGCTGGAATTATTGACAGCACCAGCATGCAAATTTACTCATTTATCTTGTCTGGAAACACCAAGTGCAGTTTATTTTATCTGGATAATGCATTTCATCTACAGAAAATCCCATTTGGGAGCACTACACTTTAAAGACAAAACTATAAATTGGCTAATAACTGCACTTGTATACAAATATTAAAGCTTTGCCTGAAATAGCCTCAACAGTTGCATTACACTAGTTGCCCAATGAATTACAGGTATTATATCTTCTGATTAGAGAGGTGAAAGCCCACCATTACTGTAAGTACATGCTTAATGCAGATCAGCATGATACAGAACCTATTTTCCTGTTGACTTGCAATATGATAAAGGTTATATTGCATAAATGATGACAATTTCCAAAGCAGAAGGACCTCCAATAAATAAGGTCACATATCTGCTTATCATAGAGGTGAAAGCCCACCATTAGACTAAGTACATGCTTAATGGTGATCAGTTTGTTATAGAGCCTACTTGCCTGTTGAGTCATAATATGATAAAGCCAAAGTCTGCATAAACAAAGATATTTTCCACAGCAAAACATTTTCATTGTGTGTGTGTGTGTGTGTTGGGGGGGGGGGGGCACATTTACCTTGATAATGGAAAAGAAGTATGACTTGTGGTTTGATTTTGTCTTTCACTAGGTGGAAAGTATTGATTACATCTTGCCATAAGACTGTTGGTCACACTGTAATATTAAAAATGTACCACCAACATGAGCACATCGGAATGAGACAAGATATCAAAATGATAAAAAAAGCACCTGTTTGCCATTACACAACATTTTTAACATAAGGTCTCGTTCCATTTTTTTCCCCAGAAACAGCAGCATTGTTTTAATAGACACAAGCAGCAGACATGAATCAGCAAAATGAAAGATCATGCAGATGCATCACTGTTGCAGCGTGATTACATTTCTTTCATTAATTTTCACAGAAAAAAATGTACTTGGGGTTATTCCCTTTGCTAAGCCTCAGATCACCATCTCAACAGAACATAGCACTTAGCTACAGCAGACAATATAGCATATTTTTAGTACTCACTGGATACCACTTTATCACAACAAGATAAAAATCAGAGGTCCAAACTGTTGAGGTGTAGGGAAATAAAATAGCCAAGGTTTCTGGCTCAAGGCAGTGTTCCAAGCAAGCGAGCACGAAAAGTGAAAATTAAATATTCTCTGCATTCCCTTCACTTTGAAGTCATCAAATGTTACTTTTTTACTTGAAAAATACACAGGAATCTTTCAATGCCAGTAAAAATGTTAGAAACCAGCTCACATATGGTAGGAAAGATGCCGTCTCTCTGGAACTGTGTACAGTGACATGATGGAATGATGCCTGTAAACTACAACTCTCTGGGGACATTATTACCCCCCCTTTTAATGTCTGGCTGCCTGACCATCTCTTCACCTCAACACCCAATGTCATTTTTCAAGTTAGCGGTTACAGCTAAAGAGAAGCATGCTTACTCATATTGAGGCTAGCTTATTAAAACAAAGTTTTATTCTTGCTCCGGCATTAGTGCACGCTGGTTATTATCTGCCTAAATATTCATAACATTCACGCAATGCAAATATTATGTCATGTAAACAATTCTAAGTCTGTTGTGTTTCATACGCAAGGCAAATGTTATTTAGTGAAAAGGCTAGAAATATTCTTAAGTTTCATAGTTTATTAGATTTCTCAACACAGGAGAAAGCAAAATACAAAAACACAGAAAGGAATTGGTTAGAATTTCTTTGTAACAAAACAATATAAACATTTAATCAATTGCATCACTGTGAATGATCTTACAGTACATTTCTGTCCAAGAAGGCTTAGAATATTAGGCAGAAAATCATAAATTAAAATATTTCAGACAGTTTAGTAAGAAAGCATATGTGGCGGAACTTGCTTTAAATTTCAGAAAAACAAAAGCTTACCTGGATTGATTTTTTCATTAAAAAGAGCAGGTTCCCTTTCAGACGGCACCATCTCTCTCTAGTGTCTGTATGCACACAAAAAGGGGGAAAAAAATAAGACATGTCTTTAAAACACAAGCAATACTTGTTTTTATCTATGTATAGTAAAAGATTCACAGAAGAGCTCTTGCCTGGGCTCACTCTATGATGCTAAAAGAAACCGCGTTAGTATTAAAGGTCAAAAGAAAAAACATTAAAGATTTTCTGCTCTGGCCGGCAGCTGCATGCATCTGACAGGCAGCTAAATGCCAGATAACTTCCCAGAAGGTTCCCGTTTCCCTGCAGCTCAGAGATTTGGTGACTGCAGCACAAAACTCAACTAATTTTTCATTGGTCCTTGCTTCTTCACTCAGGAGGGACAGAGAGCCATTTGAGCAAAAAAAAAAGAAAAAAAGGGAATTAGTTGCAATCATGAAACAGTAAGAATAGAGAAAAAAACTCCCGTGATATTCCTCTGAGGCGATGCTTTTACAGGAAATGTGCCACAGGGGATGACCCTATACTGTATGTGGCAATTACAGGAAATCACAGAGAAAAGATCAGTCCTGTAATGTTTATAAGCCCCCTTTATCTTTTCTGCCATGGAATCAAAATAAATGATATGCAAATATTGCTTTGGCTAAATATGCAGTGTTGTATAATAATTCTTCATTAGCAGCGACTTATTTTAGCACACAGACTCATACATAGTCACACAGAGATCAGAAACCATGTACTTCAGCATATAGACTTGGTCCTCTCTAGCCTCCCTTTGCCAGAGAAACAGAGAGAACCCTCAACTAACTTTAATGACATACCGTACCTCATTTTAAGAGAAAGCACCCCTCTTTACTGCTCATGGTGAAAAGCCTTAATAGAAAACACAGAAATTTTGTCTGACTATCTTTTGGTACAGTGAAATCCTCTTATTTTTCCTGTTTTAAAACAAATACAGGTTCTCTCGTAGCAGACATTGTTGTCTTAAGGGCTGCCTTAGGTGTCTATTTCCTCGTCCTTCTCAACCAAAAATTCAAACCGCAATTTACCCCACGAAATAAGTACAGTATGTTATTTGGTTAGCACAGGTGTTGGCTTTATTGAGACTAAAATTAATATTTTCTGATCAACCGAATGAAGCAAATAAAGTTTAGAATTTTTTTTAAAATGAGCCTTCCACAAGAGTCTTTCAGAGTCTTTTCTTCAAGCAGGCCCACCTGCACTGAAACTAGCACTAACAGAACCATCTTAAGGACAGATGAGAACTTTAACTTCTACATCCAATCTCCTCCTGTGGAGGAGCTGAAGGAGGAAATGAAACTTAAAACCCGAAGGTAACTCTCATCTTTGATTTTAATTATAATACAACCTCATCTATTTACAATGTGGTGCTTCATGCACATATTAATAGATCCTAAATAGGTTAAACAGGTTCTATGGCATTAGAATAAACTAATACAACCTTGTTCTGGAGTAGCTCCAAACAAAGCAAAAGGCAGGATACATCCTGGACAGGATGCCAGTCCATCACAGGGCAAACAGACACAAACACACACACACTCACAGCAGGGCCAGTTTCTTACAGAAGTCAATTAATCTGCCAGTATGTGGTACGTGGAACGCCGCCAGGTTTTACGCCAAATGACCCTGGAACTTTAAGTGCACTGAAAAATTGGGACAGGTTTTCATATTTTCTATTTTAATAAAATTAGTTTGTGTCGAATAAGTAGCCTACATACTACGATAGTGCACGCGCTAATACTTGAGGGGACACAAGAGCTACAATGTAATTACATACCATTGTATAGGAATGCGTTCTACGGAAGAAAGCGACCAGTTGTATTTAAAAAAAATTAAATAGCAAATACAGAGGTAGGAGAATGTGTGTGACTTTGGAAGAATGCCAATGTTAGAAATGCAGGAAAGCATAGAAATGCATAATATGAACGCTGGCAATCTTGTGAGCACAGGAAAGCATGATAGATAAGAGAAAAATATTTAAGAACTGTTCTAGGTTAATTTGAGAAAAATACAGAGTGTCTCTGTGTTTCGCTCCCATGCGCATAAAATAAAAACTTCTTTTAACTTCTGAGACAAACTCCTGAAATGGAAACAGGGAAAAATGCAAGCTTGCGGATTGCTTAAGCAAGTAAGCACCAAACTACTTGTGAAGAACTTTGTTTACCGTTGGCAAAAGAGCTGACACGTATTATGTGTGGAGAAAAGCCTGCTAGACAGATCGACCTGCTGCCCCCTCCAAAAGACACAAACACAGAATTATTGATATGGCGGATGATGTCAAAAGTACGCTGATAGAGTGCATTAAGATGAGCAGATCCTTTTCACTGCAATTAGATGAGTCTATAAATGTTGTTGATTTGGCCAATTTGCACGTTTACGTTCTATACGAGTTTGAGGGCATGTCCCATGGGGACTTTCTGCTCTGTAATCTGCTACCAACAGGAACTACAGGAGAGTACATATTTCAGCTTCTGAATGAATTTAGCGGAGAGAATGGCATCGGCTGGATAAAATGCGTCACAGTTTGTACAGACAGTGCTAGAGCAATGACAAGCTGACACAGCGGTGTAGTTGCAGGAATTACAGAGGTTGCTCCAGATATGAACTGCAGCATCCACCACAAGGCCTTGGCCGTCAAGAAAATGCCTGACGATTTAAAATCTGTTAGACTCTGTTGTGAATTGTATCAAGGCTCGACCAATGAATTCACATCTGCTTTGCTCGACTAAACAGACTCACCCCTCTCACCGAAATGGTGCTATTTTATTGTTTATTTTTAATTGTTGTTGTTCCTTTTGTCATTCTGTAAAGCGCTTTGAGAAGCCACCTTTAAAGGCGCTATATCAAAAAAAGTGTATTATTATAATATTTATTATACGTGTATGTGAGTGTGTGCACGCACGCACTGAGATTTTCTGGAGCTCCTATGAGATGATGACTTGTAGGTTGTACTTGGATGCTTTGGTTTGATCAGGGGTGGTACTTGGTCCAAAAAGTTTGAGAAGTACTGACCTAGAGGAAACCCATGCCAACATTGAAACTCCACACAGATAACATCCCAGTAATTGAACCCAGGGCCCCGGTGCTACAGCAATGCTAACCACTGGGCTGCCTAGATATACTTATAGTTTTCCTAATTTAAACATATTGAGTTCCTTTCTGGTTTACAATGAGAACTATCTAGAACCAATTTATCAGGATAATTAACAGACACTTAACTATGTTAATGGACCTCAGTTCATTGAGGTATACACCCTCCCTGTATTAAGATGCATCCATTTAGCGTAATCATTCTTAATACAATCAGTTAAATGCAAAAAGTAGCTTGTTTCAGAATCTGCAGTTAAGGGCTGTTTGGTTTTCCTGGAGGCCTTATAAGACAGATCAGTGGATAGTTTCATGCACACACCTTGGTTGCTTGTTTTTGCTCTGTCTCATTCTAAATAAAGGCACAGGCATGACTCAAGACAATCAAAAGGTCAGCAGCAACCACAACATCTGCCAAGATAAGCTTTTAAAATCTCTGATCTCTTTGCACACCTGTGACATTGCCAAGGAACACATTTCTGAAGGACATTTAGAAGGAAAATTTGTAAATGTCAAATACAAAAGGATGTTGCCTGCAGCAGACAGGAACATGGTACCGTATTAGGAGCCTCAAATATGTGGCTGTAACCAAGAAAGGAAACACTCAGAAGTGGAGGCTGATTCCTTCGTCAGTCACAACCTGGACTCCATCATTAGCCAGCTATGAGCAGGATTTCCTGAATGGGGATCTGCAGTAGGCCGAGCGATGCCAAGGTGGGTTTGAATCATCACTGGGATTTGATGGGCAACTATAAAAACTTACAGCGCTGTAAGTGAGAAAGTTAGCACATCTCAAGGTGATGTAAACTCTCCTGGGGGCATACATTGTGAAATATCGCAGATGGTACAGGCAAGTGTATATTTCAGAGAAAAGCAGGTACAATCCATGTACATTAATTACAGATATTATTAGAAAAAAATATTTTCGGGAATTGGTTAAAAATTGGTTCTCTCAACAATAAAAGTATTTGTAGAACAATTTATATTTTAACCATTAGCCACCCCTTTTAGAATCAGAAGTGATTAAGTGTTTTAGACACAGCTCTCAAGCATCAACCTTAACAAATCAAAATTATACTTTACTTTTCAAATTTAAGAGACTACAGCCAATACAGACATTAAATACAAGACAGTTACTATTTATATAAGGCATTATAATGCATTATCTGCCACAGATTGAGTATGATTCAAAATGAGATTTATGTAAGTTTGTGTGTTTGAAATGAACACATACCCACATTTTCACTGACTTGAATTTTTATTTCCAATTTTCTATTATGACAGTATAACTACTATGTAAGTAGGTGATGTTTTGATGTTTCAACTGTTAGACAAGAAATAAAACGATTTGCGAGTTTGTTTGCAGATATAGTAAAGATGTACCAGCCTGAAATAATGTAATGGTGATAGGAGCCAATATATTTTTAAAGATAATTTGCTAAATTTTTAAAAAACCCATCATACGATAAGCAATGTTCAATTTTTAAATATAATATCAGGAGTGCCTGCTGATTCTCATTATTGTCAACATTGCTGTCTAAAAAACAATGATCAAAATGTAAAATGATGCCCACCAAGTGAAGCAGTAGGCACATCAAATAGTCGCTGTTCAAATTGTCATCATACATCAAAACATAGACAATTTGCAAAGAATTCACCAGAATTCTCTTACTTAAATTCTGAATACAGTTACAGTTACATTCATCATTCTCAATCTTCCAGGATCTGGAAAGGTTAAAACCATGACATTCTTAAAAGAGTAAGACTGGCAGCTCATTTTTCTCGTCTATCTGTTCATTGACAATGTTTCATTTCACAATACACCCCCTGCATCCTCCTCTCTTTCAGCTTTTAAAAAGACCCTTGTACTGCACTAAGCAGTTTAAAGTAAAATAGTCAATGCCTGAACCACAAAAAGCCATATCAATTATATACACTGAGTGAAAGTACCTTAGGAACAAAAGAAAAGAAAACATGTACACAATACAATATGCCCCTCAGAAGAAGGGTAGTTTATTCCAAGGTCCTCGTTAAATTCCACATTGGGTTCATACAATATGGCCTTCTGAAAGTTCCCCTTTAATTCATTTGATGAAGCATTTTCTCACTTGCAAACCACTGTGAGATCCTTTGGGATGTAAAGTGCAACATAACTGCAAGGCACTGTTAATAAATACTAATGATGTCGTATTTTATAGTCTCAGCCCCCAGAATATTAGAGTGCGGTGTTACAAACTTTTACAATCTGAATGCTACTTATTGGCCTGGAAGTAGGGTAAGTAGGTATTTTATTAATTCCGTGTGGGAAATTCAAGTAAATATAATATTCCTGACTGAAACCAGCACAGAAATAGTTTCAAAAATAGCGTACCATGATCAATAACCTAATCAAGAGTGAATTAAACATTCTACTGCAGGAAAGAATAAAGTAGAGGGGACCACGATATGAGATTCCATAAATGAAATTTGATGAAATGTTAAAGAAAGTGGTATAAAAAATTAAAATGCCAATCTGCACTGTAAAACTTTTGTTTTCTACACATTTTACTTTGTACAAGTTATACTTACAATACAATCAAGTCAGCAACAACATAATAACTTTCAATCTCAAAATGTTCAAAACCGTATTTCAGCTGTTGGGGCAGGAATGCTTCAAAATGAGCAGCTGGAGTTTGCCAACAGCAGTACCTGCTGTTCTTCATTGGACTCACTGAATAACACAAATCGGAATGCAAAACATCTTTATACAAAGAATACTGCATATTAAACTTGTCTCAATTCTGAGAAAAATAGTAAAATAATAAAGCAGCACACCTACAGAAATGGAGCTGATGAATTTCCATCTCAGTTTTTTTTTTTATCCAGCAGATAAATAATTGAAATACTCTCAAAGGAGGAAGCACAGAAAGTGCGAAAGGTTCCTGTCATATGCTTCAGAACACAGGGATGTACACACACAGGCAGATGAGGCTATGTCAATCCTTGTTAGCTCTGTCCAAGAGAAGATGAATGAAATGAGATATACTGTGACCTCCCAGTGGAAAGTGTCCTCTGTCAAATGTGTATAACTAGACTCTTGGGGGGAGTAAATCCATGGAGTGTGGCCATTAGGAGTTTGAGAACTTTTGTGAATTAATTTCTCATTTCTCATTTTGTAGGGCTTCCCAACAATTCCACTCAGTTCAAAGCGCGCTTTTACTAAATTTCAGGAGCTTGACACGCTTTATAATACAAAAAAGACTACTCAGAACTTGAAGGTAAATTACTGCATGTTGTGTAAACACCTGAGTGTAAGGTATGGGAAACCTGTACAGGTGGATTAGATCAAGCTCTGCTGTTCTCTTAGAACGTTAAGACGTCGTGGCATATCCAATGCAATGAAAACACACTTCTTGTACCGGCTATTGAGGAGTAGTAGGCCAAGAAGGACAAGACAAAGGAGAGCCTGCACATTTTCGCAGCAGCACTTATTTGTTGAGAGCTCAATGTTTGCCAGGAACACCAAAGGAAAAACATGAGTACATTCAATATCACCAAGCCCAAGCACTTTAGGAAATCTAGCCAGCTACTAAAAAGCCACCTTTGCCACTCACAATGCTCACAAAAGATACTTCCTATGCTGGCAAAAAATCTAAAGGAATTGTTGCAGCAAAAGATAAGTGATATTACACTGATGTCTGCTACTGTTTAAACAATGATGAACATTAAAAATAAAAACAAACTGTCACAAAGGTAACCACACTTGGAGCAGTTAAAAATTAAATCATGAGTACAATACTGGCAGATTAAATTTACTTTCTACATAGTATCTTAAGTTTCAGATAAACAACATCTTCAGTTAAATGTACAGGAAAGGCAACTTGATTCTCCGTTTTAAACTATGGAAAATATTCATCGTTTTTTGGGGTCTAACCATCGCCTTCAACTGATTTAACTATTCGAGCAGCTTATTCGACACCTAGACCTGTGTGCCGAACCTTATTATAAAAAGAAGTGAGTGAGCACAGCTGCAACAGATCTCATTTTCCCCTTCTCTCTGTGACTGGGCTCTAAGCCACACAGTCGCAGCACAAACCTCTGAGACAGTTGCTCCTATACAGGCAGGCAGAATTAGGCAGAGACCTCTGTGGAAGAATCCAAAATAATGCAGCAAAGGTCAGCTGTAACTCTCTCATCCTCTGTTACGTAAGAAGCAAGACATTGTGAGCAAGTTCCACCTTCCTATGGATCCAAAGCAATTTGGCCTTCTGTTTGATGACTTACATGTTATTTATGAGTTTGTAAAACTCTGAAATCAGTCTGGAAGCAACTTTTTTACATTTAAGAGAAGATTTACTTCCTTTTAAAAATTACTAGACAAGGATATTATCTCTTGCTCACATTATGGGTTAAAGAGAAACAGTTCTTTGCTGGTTATGCATAAGCTTCAGAGAGAAACTTCTCCCTTGAAAAGGTCTATTGTTAAGAAACTGGTATTACCTGCCTAAAGTATAGGCACCAGCTCTGTGAATGCTGTAGTTGTTCTAGTACTGTATCTTCAGTACGTATGATCAAATTATTGTTAAATAAGAGATCAATGCATTTTTGTTTTGAACATGTTTGAGTCATTACCATAGGATTTTTCTCTGAATTATGATTTAGCTGATTTATTATCACCTACAAATGCCTGTGCAGGATGGACGCTGCTTCATAACAGTTATGTGTTGCAAACACTGAAAAATACGTAAGAACTAAACCCTCAAACCACAGTATCAGCATTTACTTTAACTTCTTATAATAACAGAAAATGATCTTCCTACAACAATGATGAGAGAATTCACATGGCATCATCAAAGGCGGCGGCTTTCTGCTAAAACATGCAAAATAAAGGTTTGATAAAGTGCTCTACAAAGGAGGAATTTTATTAAAGAGTGCAACACAAAGGAACATCCTCCTTAAAGGGGAACAGCAGCTCCAATTTCCAGACTGGTTATTACATTTCGATGATAAAACAAATTGATGGTATCTCCAAATTTGACAAATTCATGAACTTTGTGAAAGAACTATATGGCTGCCATATTGTTGTAAACTGCTGGTCTCGCCATAGACAAGAGCGAGAGTTCACATGAACAGTGACTTAATCCAACCCTTTCTGCTCTCTAGCCACTGTAATGAGTAATGGAATGTGATGCAGCAGACATCTCACCAGAGAAATGTTCCAATGTGAACTGCATGTAGATGCAGGGACAAGGCCTATTATTTCACTTACAGTTGAATTAACTGATATCAAGTATTTTTAAATGATCTCTGTGTACCTAAACCAAACAGCCTGCTGCATGTCACAGGAAAGAGGTCAGCCACAGGATGACCTGTGAGCAAGTGAGGGAGATTAACTTATATTTTAGATAAGGTTCTTTCCCAGGACAATCCAAATCATTACCAATTCTCCTTTAAGATAGATACCCACTGCTGGCACCTAGATGTCTGAAAGAGGAACATAGGCACATCTGGAAATAATCCTAAAAGTCTCAGTGGATGGACAATCATCCAACAAGATGACCAACCAATCGGTGGCCTGCAGGGTGTGGGTACCCACTCCACCTGATAGCTCCTTGACCAATCACCAACATATTTTCCCCAGTTAAAAAGCGGTGCGTCACCTCTAACTTCGCTGCCCTCCTCTTTCGGATGAACCAACTTGACTGACGACAGAACCATGTGCTTGCCACACTTGTTGTTTGAACTTTCTGACTTTTTTCCCCAAACCTGCCCAGGGTGAATCCATACATAAAGAGAGAATTCTGCCCTGAAGTGTATTCTGAGATGTAGCCCTGGACCTCTCGACCAAAGTGTAACACCTTAGTTATAACAGCCCATGGAAAAGCTGATTGCTAATCAATTTCCTGCCTTGCAGAGAAACATTCATTTTGCAAGCCTCAAAGTATGTACATTATACTGCATTGCTATGGTCTTAGTAATTATTTAGAAATGGTAGAAATTATCCTTTAGGTCAGAGACCTGTGTTACCATACTGTATCTACGGTAGTATGATTTACAGAAACACATACACAGTCACCACACTACCTTGCGACTTTTCTGAATTGCTCAAGGGCACTCGGCACACTTTAAGCCTGCCTTCTCTGTCGAAGCTTCCAGAGGGTCCTTTAGCAAGAAAAGCAAGTTGTGTTGCGTTGAACCTCATCCTCCTCTCCACAGCTCTGTCCAAGGTAATCTAGGCTCCTTGAATGGTAGGTATGGAAGTTTAGCAGCAACTCCAAGTAGTCAGCAGCTGCAACAAACAGAATTGAACAGCAAAATATGATAATCAGGTGATTTTAAATAATGTTTACATAAAAGTAGTCTCTACCAGGACAGGATTCACAGTTAAGGCAGTCTGCAGGGCCAAAAGTTATAACACAGTGATGAAGAGAAATTTAAATGCTTTAATTGATATAATTTTAGGCAAGAATACAACTGGAGCTGTCTACATCAGTGCTCAAAGTCTGAATTACTACTGTACCTTTATGCACATTTTCACATTATACCATTATCACAAAGCTACTTATTTTGAAGTGAATAAATAGTAGAATCTGATAATTCTGTTGTTGGATCATTTCAAGGAGATGACCCAGTCCATTTAAATTACAGATGCTTCATCAGGTGGCAGCATTTATAGTGGAAGGAGAAAACCCCCAGGAGACGTCGAATTGCAATATTCCTAAAGCCGACAGAAAGCATTCCCTCTCCCTGTGAGCCAAAAAGATTCTTTCCATACAAATATTGCTGCTTTTCTTGTCATTTATTTTTCAAGACTTAAAGCTTAAAAGGGAATCTGAAGTAAGAACTAAGAGTTTCTATCATTTTAATCATGTCTAACGTATCATAAGTGTGTTCAAAGGTAGTTGAAAATAAAACATGCAATGCATTACAGTGTTACTGAAAATAATGAAAATAATGTGTTTTGTGTTCATCCTACTTTCAGTAATGGTTATCTTAATCCCAGTAGACTCTGGACAGAGAAAAATCTTGAATTTGTTTTACTTTATTATCTTCCGAATTACAAAATACAATGTACTGTTTACTCCACTTGTGGCAAGAGCCCAGTACAACTCCCACTTTGCTTTTTTTAAAATAACATTTCAAATTTGGGGTGTCAGAATGGTTAGTATTGCTCCCTTATGGCATTGGGGCCCTGGGTTCAATTCCTGGGGGGCTATCTGCTTGGAGTTTGTTGTCTCCATGTTCGCATGGGTTTCCTCCCACAGTCCAAAGACATACTGGTAGTTTAAGTGGCTTCTGGGAAAAGTGGCCCTGGTGTGGGTGTGTTTGTGTGTGTCTTGGTGTGCCCTGTGATGGACTGACATCCTCTTCAGGGTGTATTCCACCCTGCCCCTGTGGCTTGCCAGGTTAGGCTCAGACTCCCCTGCGACCCCGTACAGTTAGAAATGGATGGATAATAAAAATACAGGCTAAACTGCAACTGAAAATTAATAAACCTACTGGTAATACCATACAACTTGTGACTCCTTTCTAATACTAAATAATTTACATAATTCCATAACTCAACTGCCTCCATTGATCTGTATGGATGCAATTTGAATTCATGACATTTTCATATCTGTACTCTATTCCTAGATCAGGCACAACTTGACAGGAACTAAACTATTCAAAACAGCAAAATCTTGTATCAGCAAAGACAAACTGTATTGTAAATGTGCATGCCTCATTCCCTCCTTGAAATTTTTCACCAATAAAACCCTCAACCAAATGCTATATTAACTATGTTCTTCACTAAAATAGCTACAGTACTTTAATCCATGAAATCATAAAAGGTTGGCAACGATAACAGATTATATTAATTTCTATATTTTTTTCCTTTTTTACACATGCCTCCAAAAGATATGCAAATTCTTAAAGATTTCATAAAACAGGGATTACCATACTAACTAGTGTATTTTCAATACTTTCAATGGTGAATCCATATGCCTGTTTAGAATAAATCATTAATGCTGTTAAAATTAATCATTATATTTTCAAAATTACCAAAATTATTGCTGTTAAGAATTTGAAATGCAAATAATGAAGGCCAACAATAATTTAAAATTTAGACATCAGGGCAATAAAAAATGATTGCTGAGTCACAGATAACTTTGCAAACTTTGATAGTTTCAATCACTTTGTGATGCAGAAATTCCTGCAGTCTACCAAAAATATAAACCTACTGTATACATTAACAATACCTTCTGGCACAAAAGCAGCCCCAGCAAATCACTTTGTCTTGGTTTTCTGCTTGCTCTGGATTCATTCCTATAGTATTTCCAAACTTGCACTTGGTCAGTCCCATGATCGTCTTAAATACTTTACTCCACATCTCGGTCACAAGGGTTTTTACTTTCTGAGCTTAATTTCCTGTCCACAAGCCAAGTCCATACTGTAGCTCTGCCTCATTAGGTTAATCAAAACACGTGGTGATACTGCACCCGTGTTTCAGAAAAAATGTACAGCTTTTGTCTTCATGCTTGACTTAAAAAGACAAACCATTTTACATTTACAGGCACAATCCTCAGAGAAATATTGTTGCGGAGACAAAGACTGCTGACAAATTACAATGGAGTGTGGCAGCCTCCCGAGCTTAATTGTGAAATTAAGACAAGAATCATCACACGATCTTCAGGAATATAATTTAGATTGGTACACAATCACAATTTAATTTCTTCCTGTAGGGAATTTTTAATCAACATTTTACTCACATCACAACATTGGACAAAAGATGTAATAATTCCCTCAGGGAACAAAAACAAACCTGAGGGAACGCTGTTAGAATAACACGTTATTATTCATATCAGCGCAATGCAGCTAGACCAACAGCAAAGCTGCCAAAGCAAAAACTGATTTCATTTATAATTTAACCTACATTATGTGGTTTGTAGGAAAAATATTATATTTGGGAGATACAATAAAACTACTTCATTATTCTGAATGAGCATCATACCGAGTGTAATAAGCCAAATAAATGAAAATAAACCAGATATGAAAATATCACACACTAACCTTTTTATTAAGTCCTGCCCAAGTCATCATATCTTACTGAAATACTTTGTTAAAGTAAAAACTTTATTCTGTAATGTCTCTGGAAAATAAACATGTAAGTAGACATATATACACAAACATGAACTGTTTTTTTATTTCAGAAACATTTTCCCTTGGCTAGAAAACACCTGGAAAATATTTGCTTAAATACCAGAGAAATTGTATTGTTTTTTAAGGTAACAGTTCTAGCTGTTGTCTCTCTTCACTAACATTACCATTAAGTCCTTGGCATTTTCTTGCAAATCTGTGTGTAGAGTTAACCTGCAGTTGCTATGAAGGATACCTGTAGTCTGTCTGCTTCCACGGTCAGATCTTGGAAGTCATCATGATCATTTCATCCACATTTAGGTAAGCCTGGCCCTCAGGTACGGGATCCTGCAGCTTTTAGCGACACCTTTCTAGTAAAAGGCTCAAATAATGCTGTTAAGACGTATTCTCTTAAATAGTTCAATTTGGGCTATTCAAGGACCTGCTTTGCCTATCCCTGAACTAGAACCTCACACTCAGAGCACTCTGGATTCATGCCAGGCACTTCGCAGTTCAGAACAAGTGTAATTGTATACCATTTAGGCCATATAAAATGTTCTTGCTTAGTTGAGCATAGTATGAAGACTTTAAAATGAAGCTATAAATCAAAACATCAGTAAGTAAAGCCTAAAATGTGGTCCAGAGATAATGAAATCCGTTTAAAAATGCATGACAAAAAAAGGAATATAGGACTGAACTGTTGAGTTGTTGCTTCAACAACAGAACAATAAGAAAGACAACTTAATAGTTTTAGACAAAATATGGTCTTGTGAGATCTTTGGATTTGCTCTACCGTAATTAGTTTAGCACGCTTCTTCAGGAGATCAATAAGATGGAACATTACCGATGCCTTTGCATCTTACCGGGTCTCTAAAATAACAGAATACGTGGAAGAATCGCTGAATAACACCATGAAGGAACCTTGCGGCTGGTGTCTGGGACAGCTCCAAGGTAGAAGCTCACGACCAATCCTCTCATGCTTCTCAATAGCAACTGTAACTGCCTTTGCTTCTCAAGAAATAGAATGAAAATGCAAATGCAGTCAGACACAGATATGATTCAACTTTAATGTGGAAAGACCAGAGAACCCTACCAACCTCTGTCAGCTGAATCTCACCTGAGAATTGATGGCTTTGCATAGCCAACGATACCTACAAGTGCTTATCATGTGACAGGTAGGACGACAGGACACCTGCTGTTCTGCCCTTATTTTGCACCAAATGATTTATAACTCTTCAGTGCCTTACAGACATGACCAGCAGACTATTTGTACCTAACAGCAATGAACAACAGACAGTTCAGGCTGCTCTCCAGGGGCCTAGGACAGACTGTTGCTACGGTGTGGGACACACGCCCATACATTTCTTAAGACTGAAGAAAAGCATTCCATAGGAGTGTAGTGATACCATTAACATGGAAGTATGTGACCTTGAGTGTAAAAGCCTTATATCTATAAAGCTGTCATAAATTATGCTTCTCTGTATAAAAAATACAAAGAAAATACTCTGTGATGCAAAAATTAGTAAATTTGTTTATGTGTTGCAGTGTTACAAAACTCCAAATAAGTACAAGGTTCCTAACAGAAATATGCTGAAACTTTAAGGCAAGCTTTTTTTTTTATCTTGTTAATACAGTAGTGGGGTATTTAATTTGAAATTTACACATAAGGAAACTTTTTTTATCCGTAGGGATATATGAAAATAGCCAGGTGTCTTTCAGATTTTATTATTAGAACTAAAGTAGACAAAGTACACTTCTCAAAGACCTATGAGCAAAAAACTGTCCTGTTCGGATATGATTTCTGGATTATAACTGACTGCAGTAACAAAATGGGGTGCCAGAAAATAATACATATGACCAATTTCATTCTTTCCCAATTGAAGCTCATGTTAAAAAAATACTGGTACTTAATGTTTCCTTTCTTAATTTCTAGACACTGGTATCTTACACTATGCCTATCAAGTACTAGGTTTCTAATTTGTGACAGTGGGGAGGTTATAAAGTTTTAACACAATGTATACCCTGTAAATAATATTTAATCTTCAATTTGTGTTCTAGATTTGTACATTAAAAAATCAATAATTATTTAATCTGTATATGCCCAATTCCCTTGACAGGACAGATACAGAAAAATCTGAAGAGACTAACTAATTTACAATCCGAATAATACTTTTGCAGCACCCTATTGGGAAGGAATTACATATCTCTTACTTTCTCTGCCGAGGGCCTGATCCTGCTGACAGCTTTTTTTACATTACCAATAAGCACTACTTGTGCTTATCACTGAAACACATTAAAACAAAACTTCTTTCTGATTATGATCCACTTTCAGAGCCTGTGGGTTCCATGAAATAATGGTCTCGATTATCCTTAAAAAATAAAATCAACTTTAAAATGCCCTGAGTGATGCATTTTGCCAGTGTCCGAGTCAATGTCAATTTTTTAATTTAAGAAAAAAAATACTGCGAGCATTTCATGTGCAAGAAACTGCATTTCTATCAAACATAGGTGTCTATCACAGTAAAGCTCAAGGGCATTTCACATTACTTTTAATTTGCTCTGGAAAATCACGAACAGAAGAGGCCACAGGTGTGTGCTGAGAAGAATGAGATTCTGACACAACACCCTGGCTGGAATATGCAAAAGAAAGGGTTAGGATAAAGAGAATCATAAAATGTGTGCATATAAACACAATCTTCATAGAGGAGATAAACTGATTTTAGAACACAACACAAAGCACCCGTTACAAGCTCGGATAAAGAACACACGGTAGTCTGCCATCTAGAGACAACCGAAGCACAAAACAGGAAATTCCAACTACTCTGAGAAAACTGTGGTTGACAATCAGGAAAAAATCACATTAAGAATTTGTACTCTATTGAATGTATATAAGAATGTATTGAGCATTGTAAGTAATGCAGACCTATACATCTGTCAAGTATCCGTGATCTCTGTAAGAGGACATGGGGATTATCAAGTGGATGCAGGAAACCAAATAACCAAATTAAACCATATGCGAAAGAAAGCTGGCCTTTCTAAACATTTAGCAGGAAAGAGGTATGAGGATTTCGTTTTTAGAAAAATGAAATGAAACTATCTGCATGGCCAACAATGTGAAATCAATGTCAAAAGCCTGGTTCCTCAATACAGATCAATCTATGGCACAGGGAAAAGGGTGTTCACACAGTGGAATAGCCATAAAGAAATTCAGCGTGGAAGTTGTAGGGGAAAACAACAAAACAAATCTTGGTTGGTTTTAGACGGCTGGTTTTAGACGTATTTTTTGCAATGAAAAATGGTAAAATATTGATGTTAGAAGCTTAAATTCCTAAATTATGGGAATTTCTAGAGAAGAAAAGAGCTCAACGTGCAGAATTAAATAATCTCAAGTCACAGCACACACTTCTGATGATGGATTAAAATACAATAAAAGGAATTTATGTTGGCTTGCAAGATAAAGCCAACACTAGTTTCTGATATCATGAGACCAATCGATGCAAAAGACTTACCACATTAAGGCTCTTTTATTTCCTATAAACCTGTTGGATACAAAAGCAGCATTCATCTTATCTTAGGCAGTACAACAGCCTGCTTAATGAATTGAGTCTCTCATACTTTATAATGTTAATGCAAGATTTACCAGCTTATAACTGACAATTTTCTCTTTCTAAACCACAGGCCCCACTGTCAAGCAGAAGCTCAGAACACTTCTCTGAATTCTTCGTGCCCTACATGATGTAAGAATGGGCAGGGGAACAGAGGGAAGAATATCGTGACACATAACAGTTTTTATACAACCAGTTTGACAAGACACTTTCAGATTTAAGAGGCCAGCAAAAACCATGCAAGGGAATTTCCTAGAAAACTAATCCTAATATCATCTGACTAAAATCAGAGACACATTAATCATGGGACACTAAAAATTACACTATCAACTTCTAACAGTTTTATTCCGTCATGACACCGTTCATAAACTGCCACTTATGAAGAAACTAAATTATTATTAGTGTTAGGAAAATGTAAACAGCAAGCTATAAACATAATGGATATTCTAAAGTTTTGGAATTCAGTTACACATCATTTCCATTTCTGACTTTTAAGACCTCTTTTAAATTATTATTACATCTCAACATACTTTGTGTTATTGCCCAAAAATCCCATAGAACATAAAACTGTTCTTCTAAATTCTTCTCATTGGAAAGACTGCAAATTTAGAACATATAAAGTAACTAGCACTAAAGCTTAATATTATCTGAAAGAATCTACTGGTCAAACCCTACTTTAGCAAATGGTAGCCTGTGCAACCTTATCTTGTCAACTCTTGCATTATAAAGCAGTATAAGACCATGTGTCTTAACATGGATAAATGAATGTAATTTTATGCGAGATGTAATTAACAAGCAGCATCGTTCTGAATTGATTACAGAGGAGAGCCATAATCAGCCATAATCCTGGTGGGACCTCATCTGTAGGAGTGGTTGCATGTGCTTCCAATGCACTGACTGAATCCTGGCCCCAGGTCCTACTGAAGAATACTTCTCATTAGCAGAAACCAGATGAAGCACAAGCTTCCCTGGGTCAAAGTGAACAGCTTGAGTTTACTGGACTCACCTCTAAGGTGAAGGCCTTGCAGTAAGACGTTTGGGAAAAGCATTGTAGTAGAAAACCTTGATATGCCAAAACATTCATGACTGATGATTTCAGTGCTTCTTTAATCAACTACCAGACATAATAATTCTTTCTACAGCATAATTTCTAGAGGTTTAGTATAGCTTGCATCTATGGTCTTACTGTGGCCTGTGTACTAACCTAAGGTTATCAGTAATTGATATTCTATTTTATTTAAACTCCAACAACGATTACATCTATGAAGTATCATCAGGAGTGGCTTTCTCCTGCATTGAAATCATGCCTCACAGGACTAGTTTGCAGTGGATGTTTCCTTTCAGCAAAAGATTTATGCCCATATGTAACTCAAGCTTTGAAAAGCCAACATTCATTATTTTAGTTAAGATAAAATACAATAAAAACAGCTAAAAAAGAAAAATACCCCTTTTAGGAAAGGAATCAGAAATAAAGACTACATGAAGTTTAAAAGCTACAATTAAATAGGTTTTTATTGTTTTATTAAAGTCTCAAAAAAGCTGCATAATGTGAAGAATAAAATCTGTCAAAGGATTTTTTTTCCTAAGGGCCCAAGTCAGTAACATTAAAATACAGGACTTGCCAGTATAATTCAGTGCAATACTCAATTGCCTCGCATTCCTGTCAATGAACTATTAAAACGACGTACCTTAGTGCTCCATAGTTTTGTCTAATTGACTGTATTCTCTCAGAGAGATCCAGAAGTCACATGCACAACCCTGGGTCAAGCTTATAGCAGACTGTAACCATACTCCATCCGAGAGATCCAGACACCATGCTCAACCCTTGGTCAAGCTGATAGCTGACTGTGACCATATTCATTCA